CACTCGGCATTCCTTTTGCATTGTTGATAATGACCTTTTCTTCTTCTTCTCCTTCTATAAAGAAAGTGACTTATTTTCTCAGGGTTCTGAACTGGCAGAAATTACTGCAAGTTTTAAAGCTATATTTACCAGCAAAAGAGAGAAGCGTCTCATTGTCTTAAGCAATGATTAAATTCTGTGCCTTCAATCACCTTGGTGTTGGGTAGCATTTTTTTTCCATTATAAATCAAGGCCTAATTTTAGTTTCAAGATGACTTCAGAATATTATTTTAAGTGTTAGTGTTCTTACTGTCATCTCATAAATAATAATGATGAGCATCCATTTCCTCCAAAAAGGTATTTTTTTAAAAATCTTTTTCTTTTCGGTGATATTATAAATTTGCTAAACTTTTCCAAAAATCTTATTGGCAGTTTCTCTTTACTGAGGTCATATGATCAGAATAAAGTTCATCCAGTGTATAGCCCATATCTTTGCATTTATGGTAAAATACGTGTAGGAGTATCATAATGACATATTAATTCATTACTTTCTTCTCTTGTTTTCCTTGATATTTTCATTTAGAAACGAGAGAAAAATTATGCAAGCATTTCAATACTGGGCCACTGCTACTTTCAGTTTAATTAATATTTGAGCTTATTTAATTAATCAGATACTTACTACCTAGGCATTATAAGCAAACAGATAAGCATATTGCAAGGTGCTTAAAATAGTGATTCATCCTGAATTACACAATAATTAGTAGAAAAAAATATTGAACTTTAGCTCTCCTAGGACTTCTTTGTTAGACACAGTCAGAATTCAAAAGGCATAGTCTTTTAAATAAGAATTTATTTAGAATATACCCAGTACCAGGAAACATAGGGGATAAAAAGATAAAACATGTTCTCTTTCTTTTTTGGTCCATATCTTTATATATTTCAGGAGACAGAGAGATCAAGGCCAGGAATATAGATTTGGATGTTAGCTACATTATATGGTAGTTAAAATCACCAAGGTCAATAGTATGGTGGTTCCTCAAAAATTAATAATAGAATTACCATATGATCTAGCAATTCCACTTCTGGGTATTTATCCAAAAGAACTGAAAACAGGGTCTCAAAGAGATATTTGCACACTCGTATTTACAGCAGCATTATTCACAAGAGCTAAGAAGTAGGAGCAACCCAAATGTCCATCAAAGGATGAATGGAAACAAAATGTGGTATATACATACAGTGGAGTATTATTCAGCCTAAAAAAGAAAGGAAAATCCTGTTACATCCTACAGCATGGATGAACCTTGAGGACATTATGCTAAATGAAATAAACTAGTCACAAAAAGAAAAATACTGTATGATTCCACTTATATAATATCTAAAGGAATCAAATTCATAGAAACAGAAAGTAGGATGATGGTCACGTAGGCTGCAGGGAAAGGGAAATGGGAAGTTGTTGTTTAAAGGATATAGAGTTTTGGTTATGCAAGATAAAAAAAAAAAGTTCTGGAGCTCTATCCCACAACAACGTGAGTACAGTTAAACTACTGAACTATACACTTTTAAAAAGTCACCAAAGTGGATAACATTGTATAAGAGAGTGTATAGAAAAGATGTCAAGAAATAAACAGCAGAAAGCTGAATATTTAAGAAACTAGCACATTAAGAGATGCCTTCAAGAGACTGACAAAGGGTGGGAAGAGAAGCAGAAAAATTTGAAGAGAATGTCATATAAATCAAGAGAAGGGAGAATATTCAAGTCGGTTGTGGACAATATGAAATCCACTAGAGAGTTCAAATATGGAAGAACTTTTAAAAAGCCATTGAGATTGACAATTAGGAGGCCACTATGAACATTGTTGAGGATGGTTTCCTTGGAATAGTGTAAGCCAAATATCTTGGAGATTGAATGGGACTTAAGAAAATGTAGCAAAGGTAGAAGAGTCTTTCAGGAAGCTGAGGATGAAGGAAATTGAAGAGCTGTAATTTTTTGTAGGAAGGGATACTTTTTTAAGATGCAGAAAATCTGACTGAACATGTTTTTAGAGGAAGAGGAAGTAGAGAGAGGAATTGAAGAAAGAAGAAGAGAGACATATGGAGCAAAAGTGAGGAGCAAAATCCCATATCAAAAGCATAGGTAGAGGAATGCTTTTGGAAAACTTTGGGTAGCCACTGAGCTGAGAAGAAAAGATTGCTGAGTATAGGATGAAAAGGAGAGCTGTAATGGAGTTCACACATCTCGTCCTCTGTTTTTGCTGTAAAACATAAAGACTTGATCATCTGGGAGAAAGGAAGATGGTGTGGAGTAGTGGCTGGAGGACAGTAGTGAGTGTTTGACATAGCCACTTTAGGAAAGGGGTAAGTGAGCCAACTAGCTGAGGCTAGAAATCATAAATAATGCAGCAAATCAGAAGGCACAGTTACACAATTTTCTTGGCAGCCCAAGAGCAGGTCGGAAAAAGCAGATGGTTTGGGTTGATCCACCTTCAGAGATTGGCAGAAGACATGCCGCATGTTAAGGTCAATAGAGCGGAAGGAATGCTAGTAAAAAAGGAGCTAAAACAACTGACCTCATAAACCAAACTTCACAAGAAAAAGGATAAAAAAAAATAAAATCAGCCAGGAGCTAACAGATTAGATGAAGGATGAGGTCAAGAAGACGAGTGCTTTTTAGAAGTTGGAATGGCAAGTTCAAAGAGAATTAGCGCAGATGTGGAAAGATTAGAGACTGGTCATGGTATGAGATCTGTGTGTAGAGCCATTATAAGTGATAAGATCTAGGATGAGGACAGTGCAGGGTGTCAAGGAATAGAAAAGCTAGTCTGTTGGATGACTACCCTATTTAGACAATGAAGGTAACCCAGGATAAGACTCAGAACAGAGAGAAATACACATCACCCTGCGTCCAAATCTTTAATCACTGTGAGAGTGTGATATGAAGAAGGTCAGCAAAAAAGCCAAGATGGGGATGGGGAAAGAGTGATGTTTCAAGAAGATGTGAACTTCAGAGGAGCAAAAGAGAACCGTCGTCTGAAAACTCTGAGAGAGCCAGGGAAATGTCAGCTCCATTTCCTTGTTGTAAAATAGGAATCACCTTCACTTAACAGGCCCTACGAGGTCAGCAGGAAGTTGGGTTTTTATTATGACAAAGAGAGTAAAAGACTTTTAGGGAAAGGTTAACAGTATAGAGAAGTTTAAAAAAAAAAAGATGGTATTTTAGAAGACAAAGTGGGATTAGTAGGAGAATCAGCAAGCTGAATTGTATGGGAAAGAAGCAGAAAAAAGAAAAAGTGACTAGAGAGACATAATGAGGGAAATGACATTGAGAAGTACACAGAGTTGCAGGTAGGTGAAAGAAGAAATGTGAATAGAATTATAATGCTAATTTTTAGCTGAATACTGTTTATCATCAGAGATTAAGTAAAAGAAATGGAGAGAGAGAAGGGATTTTTATACAACTGGAACACTAATAATTGTTCCTGAATATTGTTTGGAAGAGATAAAGTTAAAAAATGGTGACATTAAATGAAAACACTAAATTTTGGCTTCATATTGTTTAGGAGAGATGAAAAAATGGAGATGATCTGGAGACAATATCTAATATTAGTATAACCTCTCCTTTAAAGTTTTAGACTTCAGGGTTAAACATTTTGTCCTGGGGGAGAACATCTACACATCTTCTCCAAATCCAACTTTCTCCAAGTATTTATTTTCAGGATTGGAAATACATTGAGAGCCTGATCTATGATAACCAAAATTCAGTTCCAGTTCACTCCATTATCCCAGGTTGCTTATTTATTTATTATTGATATATAATTCACATACCATAAAACTCACCACTTTAAAGTATCTAATTTAATGATTTTTTTAGTATATTCACAAGGATGTGCAATATTGTGGTGTCTGACTTTTTTTTTGTAAAAACAATATAAGCAGGAATATTGAAAAGATAGAAACAAACCTGTCATCTCATTGTTCAAGAACAATTATTTCATTTTTATTTATTCCCTTATAATCTTTGTCAATAACCACACATATATTTTAACACAGTTTAGTTCTAAAGAGATTTTACATTTTGCTTCTTTAAAACTTTATATTTTATCATAAATATTTAAGAAAAAAAATTTTTTTTAATTTTTATCTCAGCGAGTGTAAGGGAGAGGAAGCAAACAAAAGGACAAAATGTGTAAGTCAATAAAATATTATTAAGATGAGCAAGTATGGCCTATAAATGGATTTGTGCTCTGGTCTGTGAATGCCTGTAGGTTGGCAAATTGAATTCAAGAATGTATAATTCTATTCCATATTATTAACTTTTTTCTTTTTCTTCCTGATCTATGACTCCAGCTCCACTGATTACCTTAACCACATTACATGGTTAATTTAATTTCTAGCTATTGTTCATACTGGTCAGTTAAATAGTTGCATTTAGATAAGATTCTCTTTTCCAAGTTTGTAGTGAAACAAGTATTTTGACATATGAACTAATTTTTATTAGAATTTACTTCAAGAATAATGTGCCCCAAAGACATTAATAATAAATCCATACTCATAAACATAGTAACTGATGTTTTTTCCATAAGTATTTTTTATAATACTGTATATAGTTTTTCCTCCTGTATGATAATTCAGCAAGAATACTATTTATCAACCAGGTAGTTTTGCCCTTTTACTGGGTAAGTTCAATTTCTTGAGCTAGACAAATAATCTTAAATTATGAATTTCACAATGAATTATTTAGATCTTAATATTATCATATTATCTTGCATGATTATTATTCCAATATATTTAATTTTGAAGTGGATGACCATCCATCATCAATTTTTACATTCAAATGGTTCCAATTGGTAAATTAGGTTTTGGTGGGATGCTTTATATACTACTTATAAAGGATGAAACATCCCTAAATTAAAGCACTAAATTATTTTCTTAAATTACCTAGCTACAGGTGAACAGTTTACTTGCCTAAAGAGTTTGTTTGCAGCCGGCTTCAGACCGGTGGTTGCAATGCACTCTCTTGCGGTTCCCGGTGTTTGGGCCCCAGTGGTAACAGCGCGGGGAGAAATGGCCCTGCTGTGCTATAACCGGGGCTGCGCCCAGCGCTTGGATCCTGAGACCAACTCCGACGATGCTTGCACATACCACCCAGGTGTTCCAGTTTTTCATGATGCATTAAAGGGTTGGTCTTGCTGTAAGAGAAGAACAACTGATTTTTCTGATTTTTTTAAGCATTGTAGGCTGTACAAAAGGTAGACATAATAGTGAAAAGCCACCTGAGCCAGTCAAACCTGAAGTCAAGACTACTGAGAAGAAAGAACTATCTGAATTGAAACCCAAATTTCAGGAGCACATCATTCAAGCCCCTAAACCAATAGAAGCAATAAAGAGGCCAAGTCCCAATGAGCCAATGACAAACTTGGAATTAAAAGTATCTGCCTCCCTAAAACAAGTACTTGATAAACTATCATCGGGTAATGAAGAAAATAAGAAAGAAGAAGACAGTGATGAAGTTAAGACTGGGACCGCATGTAAAAATGGAGGGTGTTCAAAGACATATCAGGGTCTACAGAGTCTAGAAGAAGTCTGTGTATATCATTCTGGAGTACCTATTTTCCATGAAGGGATGAAATACTGGAGCTGTTGTAGAAGAAAAACTTCTGATTTTAATACATTCTTAGCCCAAGAGGGCTGTACAACAGGCAAACACATGTGGACTGCAAAGGATGCTGGGAAAAAAGTTGTTCCATGTAGACATGACTGGCATCAGACTGGGGGTGAAGTCACCATTTCAGTATATGCTAAGAATTCACTTCCAGAACTTAGTCAAGTAGTAGCAAATAGTACACTGTTAAACGTGCACATAGTATTTGAAGGAGAGAAGGAATTTCATCAAAATATGAAATTATGGGGTGTGATTGATGTAAAGCGAAGTTATGTAACTATGACTGCAACAAAGATTGAGATCATCATGAGAAAAGCTGAACCTATGCAATGGGCAAGCCTTGAATTACCTATAACCAAAAACCAGGAAAAACAAAAAGAAGATAAAACAGAATAAGCTGAGAAGAAATAGAAGTCATTTCAGAATTATTAATATGTGGTGTGTGGTGGGTTGCTGCTGTAATCTTTTGGTTTTTTTTGATGTTGTTATTGTTGAATCTGGCATTTCAGGGTCAACAGTAGGTTTTTAAAAGCCAAAGTCAGTTTATCTTTTTGTGCCGCCCATTTTCCTTTTGAGTTACCTAAGTTTGATTATTCATTTCTCCTCACTTAGATGTATTCTATACTTGAAGAAGCTAGAAAATAGCTCATAAACAGTTAACAATATTTCTTAGTGTAATATTATGTTAAGCCACAAAATACAAACATTTGTTCAGATCTTCCTATTCCGTAATTAGTAAAACAAGATGGAATGTCAAAATTTTAATTCTTTTTTTCATGAGTTTCTGTTCCTATGATACTTGAAAATCTTTAAAGAGGAGAGAAAGCTCTGCAATATTTTTTCCACTTGGGACGGTTACTTTCTGTAGGAAGTTTAATTCTGAGGCAGCGTAATAAGTAGTTAAAGAGGAATATGTACATTGATTAAAAAATTAGAATTCGTTTACAAACCTAATTGAAATAAACTATATCAGTACCTATATTGTCAAGCAGTATGATTTAAGAGTATAAGAAACAAAAGTATAGAGGTATCAATTTGATTAAAATTTACCATTTTATAAGACTTAAGCAATATTGTTAAATATCTCTTTCCTGATTAATAAGGGCTTGGTATGATGTTACGACTAAATTGTGTCTGAATTATAGCCTACATTCTCTTAACCATGTTTAATTACATGTAAAGAGAAATACATATCTGGCCTCCCTGATGGAAAACTATAAAATTATAGATTAAAAGGCTTATGGAAATACATTAGAGTATCAGAAAATGATTTAAGCTTTGCTTTATGACAACTATCTATTACATGTTAAATAAAATCGCTTAATTGTTTTGGAGGTTTTTTTAGGTTTTCATGAACAGTTTGACAATTCTCAGTGATACAATATTAATTATGTATTGTACTTTATTACATAGATGTAGAATTAGATTATTTATGATAATTGAACCCCTTAAAGGATAAGTTAACTTTCTGAGATAGAGCAGAGCTCACAAAAAAAATGAAAAATAAGAAATATTATGAAGTCCAAAACTCTCATAGAACTTAATAAGTTTGGGCATGAATTATGCTTAT